ATCCCAGAAGTTTCAGAGATATCCCAAGTAGTGGGACGAATATCAGCAGGGTATACTGGTAAAATCTACTATTTTACCACTATTTACTGGTAAAACTGGTGTAGTCGGTCGGTGACCCCCACCTATCTTACATCATTCGATGCAGAATGACGAGATCTATCCATCCCAGAAGTTTCACACTCATCCCAAGTACTGGAGCGAATGTCAGCAGGATATACTCGAATCCGCTGCTAACTTCCATTACGTGTCTTAGAAACATAAATTGTTTGCTTGCTTGTATGTCCGCAGGGTCAAAAAAACATTGAAAATCGATTTTTCTGAAAAGACATTTCTAGATGTATTTTAATGCGGAGACTTCGAATCTGATCTTATTTTTGGGAAATTTTTCATAAAAAGAATTTTTTTCAGACAAAAAGCTAATTTTTTACAAAAAATTTTTTTTTACAATATTTAACCAAAGGGTTTGTTTGGTCGAGGAATTCAAATCTGATGTTAGTTTCTCGAAATTTTTTGTAAAAAAACCTTTTTGAGACAAAGAACGACTGTTTTACAAAAAAAATTTTTTTATAAAAATTTACCGCAGAGATTTTGAGGTTGAAAAGAAGAAATCTGATGTTATTTTTTTGAGAATGGAAAAAAATTTTTTCAAACCAAGGATACCGATTTTCAGAAAAACATTTATAACTTGTTTACGAATTCGACCCTTTCTTGCTCAAGACGCTGAACAGAAGCGTCTAGATGAACTTGACAAAAAAAGAAAACGAGAATGTACGTCTTCCGCTTTTTGAACGTGTATAAATCGATACACTGTTAAGAGTTTAGTGTTATTACAAGCATATAAAATGTATTATCACTTTTGAAATTATCTTAAAATAATTATTCGTATATGTTCATTTTTTTACCTCTTTCTTTGCATTTATCTTAATTATTCTAGTAATCGTTTCTTTTCTCTAATTGTAGCAGATATTTCCGATCGTGTTTTCTTATTTTCTTTTTTCACGTAATAACTCATAATCTACTTAATTGTATTGACACTTATTTAGAATGCCTGATTCTCAATTTGATATTTGGTTTAAATATCTATTACTACTTTCGTGAAAATATCTAATCTACACTAAAAATAAATTAATGTACACAATAATAGCTTTAAAGCGTAATATCTGAAAGCGCGATTTCTACGAGAAAGAGCTGAGCGAGTCGCTAGACGAGCGTTACTTGTTGATAATATACCCACGATAATGCATCAATAAATACATCGATTTAAAATTGTTAAAGGATCCTTCGTTAACACTGGATGAATCGAATAGTTATTTTAAATTATAATTTAACGTTTTCATCTCTCGAGACATTTTTTTGCCATGTTTATTCTAAAAAGAAATTGTATCGTTTTCGAGAATGAACCGTCAACTTTTTTATTTCTTATTTCATTTTCATTTTTATCTAAAGAAAGTTAGTTTTTGCTCATCTTCGATCATGAACAAAGAGTACATATTTAGCTATAAGGAAATACTTTCAAAAAATAGTAAAAACAATTGGTTATCAGTATAGCAATCAAATATAATGTCAATACAGTTCTAAATAAATAAATCATTTAAGTATTATGAACGTCTATACTTTGCATATACCATGAGAGATCTTCATTCATCACATTCATTTCCTTTAAAATTCGCAAAGGGATGAAGTACACATTTGCCCGTTATGGACATTTGATGTGCAAGAGCGTAGTTTTGAATCAAGTTTAAACTTTCGCTGGTGGGAGTAATACCGTGAATTGTACTATGATCTGTACCAACGACTAAACCACCATAAGCACCCTTTGGTGGTTGAATTATTGTTAAATGACTGTAAGTGAAATCACGAAAGACATAAAATTGATTCATATCATCCAGGAAGGCTAACGCGGCTGCTTGTGTTAAAATATCATTCCATCGAAAATAAAAAGTTCCTCCACTGGCATCCATATAATCAACAATATCTCGTACTTCTGGTTTATGCCAAAATGATATTTTTGAAATATACCAGTTATTATAGCAACCTTCATTTGCACGGTGTGCAAAAATATGTCGATTAGTTATGAAATTTCGATAGGAAAAAAAGCGATTAACATGTTGCTGAAATTCTACTGGTATTTCTTGCACAAGAATACGACAACCATATACCTTTTTTCTCGTTCGCATAAAGTCAAAAAGATTATAAGAGATATTTGAATGAATAATACTTTCTTCTAGGCATGTGACAACTCAAGCTCAACAGCTCGTGCGAATTGAATCGAAGAACTGGGCCTCCATTTCCAGCTCCAGTGAGTTGGATATGACGACCAGCTCCTTTCATTTGAGCTGGAGCTATTCACCAGTTCCTTTTATTTGAACTGGAGCTGTCCACCAGTTCCTTTCATTCGAGCTGGAGCTATTCACCAGTTCCTTTCATTTGAATTGGAGCTGTCCACCAGTTCCTTTCATTCGAGCTGGAGCTGTTCACCAGTTCCTTTCATTTGAACTGAAGCTGTTCACTACTTCAGCTCGTGTGAGTTGGAACTGAATTGTTTCTTTCAAGTAAAACAAGTTCAAATC